CCTTCATCCGCACCACTACCAAACCGCACTGCGCATGCGCAGTGGGAGGAGTTTATGGCGATATTAATTATCATACGAAGCGGGGACGGGTTATGAATATGTATAGCAGCTCTCATGAATATGTAACCCCAGCACTACATACGTTCGAAGGGGAAGCGGCCGCGGGGCGCACGGCTTTGGTGGGATGCCGTGGTGGCGCTGAGGCCGGATAAGCATACCTGCAACTCTAACGGGCTGATCGGCTGTAAAGTCCTTCCTGCGCGCGGGGGTCTGTGACTGCTCCCGACAGCTCCAGCGCCTCCCTCCGCCAAGCTCCCGCTGCGGCCCCGGGGAGGGCTCCAGAGCCCCGCGGCCGGCGGCTGCGTGCGCAGTGCGCCGGAGCCAGGGCTGTAGCTGCCGGCGTGCCGGGCGCGGGGCGAGCGGTGGGGCCCTGAGGGGCCGAGGGCGGCTGCGGAGCTGAAGGCTGAGGGAGCCCGAGGCCGCCCTTCCTCAGCCATGCCGGCGCCTGCGCTGCCTCTGCTCCGGACCGGGCCTCTCGGCGCTCTCCTGCGCCCTCGGCCGCTGGTCAGCACAGCCGAAGGGCCGGCTCTGGCCTGTTCCGTGGTGCCACACTGCGCCGCTGTGGCCGCCCGCCTTGCTGCTGTGCTGTGAGGCAAGCTGCGGGCTGGCTCCATCCGCCGGGCCCTGCCTGCGCTGCGGCTGCTGGACCCTCTGGTGGCCGCTGGCTGCACCACGTTGGCGTTTCAGAGCCCGGCCAGCCCCTGCCTGGTGCAGGAGATGGTGACTGGGTTGGCGTTCTGAGTGCCCTGCAGTCTCCACTGCCCGGCCTGGAGTTCTCCAGGGCCAGCGGCTGCTCTCCGAAGCCACGGCCACGTTTTGCCCAGCGCCTGCGGGCTGCCCTGTTCATGGGACACCCTCAGCCAGGAGGAGCTGGTTTCATGTCACGGTCCTGCTGCCTTATTGGCGGGTGTGGGATACCAAAATGGCAGCAGCCCCTCACTGACGATAGGGAAAACACTTCCCAGCACATAGGCAGGGCTGGTGCAGGTCTGCTCAGGAAGGCCACGCCACAGCGGGCAGTAGAACTCAGGTTCATACTAGGAGCCGTGGAGGACGGCAGCAGCCAGAGAGAAGCCGACAGCCAGCTCCAGGCTGACCAAGAGCCCTGTGGGGCAGAAGAGCGATGCAAGGCAGGACGGGGTGGATGCTGCCAGCCCCAGGTCTCCTCTGGGCTGAAGGGGCTGTTCATGAGCCCCACAGGCTGCCCCCCAACAGTTTCTCATTGGGCAGGGTGGGACACGAGACCCCTCAATCCCGGGGAGCACTGAGGCTGGTCCCTGTGCAGCTGCAGAGCCCAGAGCCGGGCAGCGGCGTGCACCAGCAGCCTGGACTTGCGAGCACCGGGCAGATGGAGCAGGCATCAGGCACATCCCAGCCGCTGCCTGGGGCAGGGCACAGGGCACCCCCTGGGGAAACTCCTTGCAGGCAGGAACAGCGGCCGTGTCTCCTGGCCAGCACGTGCCCGTCCTGCTGCTGGGTCGTGGCCTTTTTCAGATTCAGTGGGTGGGATGGGAGGAGAATGGGAAGAGTGGGAAACCCAGAGGGTTGGGAAAAGAACATTTAAGAAGTACAAAAGAATGCTACTCCGAATATATAGTGTATGATGGAGTATACTAATAGCAATACAAAACGTACAATGGAATACTACTAGTAACAATAACTATAGGCCAGCGTAATAATATCTAAAGTATAACATACTACTACTACTAATATACAGCAGAATACTAGTACTACTACTAACCACTAAAGCACAACACAGTACTACTAATAATAATAATAACTGAAGGACAAGGTAATTCTATTCCTTCTATAATGAAATACTGCTACTAACAACCACAACACGAACAGCAGCGTGGTGGAACTCTGCCTGCGAGTGGTTGGTTCTGCTTAGGGTGATGGATCTTCATGTCGGGGTTCCTGCCCTGAGTGGTGTTGAATGCCTGGAGGTTAGAAAACATGCAATGATTTGCGATTCCTCTTGACAATTCCAGCACCTCCCTCAAGCCAAGCTCCCGAGTTTCTGATCTGGGAGGGTTTGGGCAGGTCGGTGTTTAAACAAAGCCCATGGCTGGGGTGGAAGCTGGTTGTAAAGGTGCAGCTCAATCCAAGTCCCTTTGGCACTCAGGGCAGGGGAGTCCACTCCCGTCACCGCCGCCACGGGGCTGCTCTGGAGCCTGGCGCCGGTTCTGCTGCTCTGCTGTTAGGTTCCAGTGTGGCAGAACGCGGGGCTGCCAAGGGTCTGTAAACCAGAGAGTTTATTGCCTTGTTCCTTCTGCTTCCTCCTCTTCCCAAAAGGCGGAGGAGAGCGGAAGGGAAAAAAGAGCTTAAAATGTCTGGGAAGGGCCCGGGCCCGGGGGAATGTGTTACATCCAGCACAAAGGCCAACTGTCAGCCTGAGCCTGCCCCAGTGAGCTCCCCTGAACACCGATGAGCCCAAAAGTGCTTTAATGGGATGGTGAGGACGGGCACGTGGCAGAAACCTGGGATGACTGGGAGTGCTGGGAGCGGAGTCACCCTTTCCTGTCCCAAAGTAGCAAGTGGGGAATAACTGAGCACCTCCTCTTCAGCCTCCTCCACCTCCTGCAGCAGCCTCTTGGTCTTCCCTCCCATCAGTGGAAATCGGTTGCAGCCGAACTGGATCTTCTTAAATGTGTAATTGCATTCAGTGCATTCAGACAGTCTTAGCTGGAATCTCTCGTGAGCAAACCAGAAGCAATCTGCAAGGGCGATGCTGGAGGCGAACCCTGAAGGCACACACATACAACAGGTCCATCCAGTGGCTTTACCTCCTTCTGCAGCTGGTGGAAATTGTTCTTGTCTTGGCAAAACGCTACGTCAAAGAGCTGCTGCTCCAGCGGGGTCCACGTGTCCGTACCTGGGAATGACCCACGAGGTACAAATGAGGAGATCACCGCAGGCAGAGAGATGCCATCACAGCTCCTCACTGCCCTGTCGACATCTCTGCTCCTTCAGAGAGCAAGTGCCCAAGCCCAGAGCCCCACACTGGAGGTGACCTGAGTAATGGTCCCCAGCCAGAGGATGGTGTTGACTTGGCTGGGGACCCCCCCGGCACAGCAGCTCCAGAGCCTCCTGTGGAAGTGAATGGAAAAAGACATTGCTCAGCCCCATCAGTGCTTGGTGACAGCAGCTCCAGGATCCCCTTGGCCATGGGAGGGTGTGGGAATGATCCACACACAGAGGCAGGTCCATGCTCCACCAGCCTTTAATGCGACTGAGGCAACAAGAGCTGGGCCCTTGAACCAAGAGCCCAGATTGCAAGGCACGGAGCATAGACCTGGGAGCACCTCCAGCTCATCCCAGGGACACAAAGGCCATTCCAGAGGGTTGTTAATGATGCCCAAGAGCTGATCTTACCAGGATATCACCGCGCCCCTCATGCAGGCAGTGCAGGGCACACTCAGTGGTGTTCTGGCACATGGCACGTCACTGGAGCTGGCCAAATCAAGGAGCTTGGTCACTGCAAGCACTACAGGAACAGCAGAAAGCTGGGGCTCTGTCCAAACAAGGGGCGACTGGAGATGGGAGGAAAACAGACCCAGTGCAGCAGATGGATTATGCGAGGGCTAGAGCCTGCCCCTGGGTCAGGGCCATGCCAAGCACAGGCACAGGCTGGGGGAGACTGAATGGAGCACAGGTTGCCCAGAGGAGCTGTGGCTCCTTCCTTCTAATGCTACCACATGTGGAGCTCAGGAATAGCAGGGAGAGGATCCAATGTCCAAAAGGCTGCTGTGAAACTCTGGACTTTTGGAACCCTTGTACCTCGGGGGCTTTGGAAGAAAAGCATTAAAGAAACTTCTATCAGGTGTTGATGGGTCCCAGACCAATGATGCCTTCTCTCTTTCTACTCCAAATGTGATGGATCTCAGAGCTCTAGGATCTCTGCCTAGTACTGGGAGCCGATGCTGATGTGCCTGTACTAAGGAGAAAGTGAGGAAGGCAAGTGGTGAAGAGATGGCCGCACACGGTCCATGGCACATGCCAACCCTCGTAGCTGAAGCAGGGTCACCAAAGCCTGCTGTTCAGGACCATGTCCAGACTGGGACAGGAAAGGGGTTCCAGTGCTGGCCCATGTACCCCAGCAGCCATGGGCAGCTGCTCGGCTGGGGACGACGTTTGCTTTGGTGTGCACAGTGCAGGGGTTGGGCCTCTGGAGATCCCCCAGGCTGGTGGCTGTGCTGCAGAGGGCGCCCTGATGTGGATGGGCACCCCGTGACTGGGGATTCCCTGTGCAACTGTGGCTCTCTGCAGTGCATCCCGCTTGCTTTCCATAGGGAGCAGTGGCAGAGCTGACAGGAGCTGTTCAGCTTGAGAGCTGGGGCTCTTCCTTGAGCAGCAGGATGCCTGTGCCGGCAGTGCAAGGTCCCACAAGACTGTTTAAAGAGGGTGGTGGGAAAGAGGGGCCTCGCAAACAGGCCATGACCTGTGTGCCTGACCAGCCCATCCATGTCCCATTATGGGACCTGCTGGACACCCTTGAGTCAGGGTGATCATTCTGACCTGTTCAGGGACCTGCGCCAACAGTGCTGATCAGCCCCCTTACTGCAAATATTCAGGTCTCTGGAGACTTAGACAAAACAGATAAGATACAAGATATTACACAGTGATGTATTTATTATACAGAACATACGGGACAGTGGCAGTGACAGCTCAGTGCCCACGTGCTAAGGGTGATGCCCCATGTCCCCAGGGGCCATGGCTGGGCCGCAGCTCAGCTCCTGGCACCAGCCCCAGAGAGGAGATGGCAGCAGTGGCCGTGTCCCTGTCCTGTCACTGTGACGCTGGGATATGGGTGCCTGGTGGCCACAAAGCTGGGCTGCTCCGGAAAGCTGGGTGCTGCTGGGCAGGAGCAGGGAGAGTGACACCGTCGCCGTATCGTGTCCCCGCCGCGGGACTGGGGCGTCTGTGCTCACAGGGCCCCTCACACCCGGTTGGTTCCTCACACAGAGCTGCAGACATGCAGGCAGAAGGGCTGAAGGCTTCCACCCTCTGCTCTGGGAGCGCCTGGCACAGGCTTCTGCCGAGGCACAAGGGCACAAGGAGCTGCTGCAGTGTCGGTAGGTGGCTGGGGAGTGCTGAGTTCAGGGGGAGATGGCTGAGCTTTGAAGGCAGCTCTGGAAGGGAGCTGCAGAGGAGACCCCGATGTGTGTTGGCACTCCATGATGGGGATGTCCTGTGCCACCGTGGCTCCCTGCAGTGCATCCCTCTTGCTTTCCAGAGGGAGCAGTGGGCAGAGCTGACAGAAGCTGTTCGGCAGCAGGCTCAGGCCAAGAATGTACTGGGGACACGAGGGACCTGGGCTCCACTGCCTCCAAGCAGGCAAGGGCATGGGCTCCTGACCAGGCACTGTGCTTGTCCAGCTGCTCAGGCTCAGGCTCCAGCTCCTCCTGAAGAGATGGGAACACCTCCAAGAGCCAACGGCTTTGAGCACAAGGAGGAATAAGTTCACTTCTTGGCTGCAAGTGAGTTTGCTGGGGGCTTAGGTGCTGGGGGTGCTGGTTCCAGCCTGGCACCCCTGTGGCCACCCAGCGGGTTGCTGAGCTGGCCCAGGTCTCTTCTCACACCTACAGCCCCATGGTGTCGGTGGCAGAGGGAAGGCAGAGCGGGCAGATGAGGCAAAGCCATCGCTGCTGGAGGAGACGGTGGCCATGCGGCTGGTAGGACACAGTGGGCCTTGGGGAGGGAAGGGTCTGCCCTGTGCTGGGGCATGGGAACACTGAGCTCAGTGGGGACAAGGGAGGGCTCTGAGCCCCCACACCTCATCTTCTCGCACACCTCAACGCAAGTCCCCGTCTGCGCTAGCTGTAGGATGAGCAGCTGGCGACATGGAGGAGCAAGATCACTTCTTGGCTGGGGTTTGTTGACGTGGGGGCTTGGGGGCCAGGGCTCTGCCTTAAGCAGCAGGATGCCTGTGCCGGCAGTGCAAGGTCCCCCGGGCTGTTTAAAGAGGGTGATGGGAAAGAGCTGAGTCCAGTTTGGCCTCTGCTCTGCCTGAGCCCTCTCCCATCCCACAGGAGACTTTGTGTGTTCCTCCTCATGCTCGTGGTGGACATCTTCTTCCTGGTCCTGCTGAAGAGGGACACCCTTAACTGGGTCCTGCCACTGAAACTGGCGGCCACCCTTGGGAGCCCCCCGGTGAGGACCCGTTTCTTTTGACATCAAAGAGATGTCTCTTTGACAAGAGAACAAAGAGATCTGTGAGTGCAGGAGACATGTGTCTCCTTGTCGGTGGAGACCCAGATGCAGAGCAAGAGCTTTACAAACCCCAGGGGTCTTCCTTCCATGTAGGCATGTTAGCTGGAGTCTGCCTGATGTGTCACACACACTGCAGGTCACACACACTGCGTGTCACATTGCAGGTCACACATTGCATGTCACACACATCGCATGTCACACATTGCAGGTCACACAGATTTAAGGTGAGTCATTCTGGCACCCTCTGCAGGCTGCACGACAGCCTCTCCTTGAGGATAAATACAATGCCTTTATCTGTACACTCAGCTGTTAATGCTGCAAAGGATGTACAATGTGTTTCAGAGTGTTGCATCGCTACTGTCACTAGAACAAGCAGCTCAAGCAGGCTCTCAAGCAGGAGAAGAAAGAAACCATTAAGTTTACATTACTGGTTCCTACCCAGGTTTCTGAGCAGGGGTGGTTGCCTGCTGGAACAAGCCACCAAGGGGAGCAGGGCACCCCCCGGTCCCTGCTGTCCCTAGAGGGAGGTTGGCTACTGCTCTGCCAGGGATGCTTTTGACAGGCAAAGTTGATGTACTCGGTGCAAGTGCAACCGGCTGAACAGCAGTGGGAGCCCACCATGTGCAGGGGGCCAGTGGAGACGATCAGAGCATCTCAGCCACCCTTAACAGTTGTGGCATGATCTTAAGGTGTTGCTGTTAAAGCAAGTTCTGAATAGTCACTGGTTGTGGAATCATAGACTGGTTTGGGTTGGAAAGAACCTCATGGCTGCAGGCGGTGGAGAGGGGGAGCTCTCACATCACTGACTTGAAGCCATTGACTTCCCAGCACAGTCATGCTTTTGGCCTTAGAATAACTGCAAAGATTTAAACCAAACCAAGCTACAAAGGGAAAAAAAAAGAGATATTGAAAGGATTCAGATGTGCTGGGCCAATTCTGCTTGGTATTCAGAACCAACAGGGAGAATTAGAAACCTTGATGTTTAACATCCATGACAATTTAGGCTTTAATTGAGGTGATATAATGCAAATCACTTTCTCTGGGGTTTAATAGCTTTTCTATTCTCTTGCTTCACGGCTACTTGCAAATGTGAGCTCCTTGACTCTGCGACTCCTTAGACCACTAAAAGAGCTATTTACTTACACACCAGTTTGCAGGCAGCCTTCTGCTTGTGGAAGCTGCCTGCTCCCTACGCCTGTGGGGATGGAGATGCACCATTAATAATGTTTTGAGTGTCTCAGCTCTCCTTGACCGAGAAATTCCTTCTCTCTCAGACCTAATGAAAAGTTTAGACTTTTTAATCTATTTTCTTATATTAGACTCAGAAAATAACCTTATTATTCTAATGGGTAGTTCAGTCCCTGTGGAAGAGATGGATAAATGAAAAAATCATAGGTGAAAAATAGGCCAGAGCTGCTATTACAGCAGTCTTCCTGACCTTTTAAGTTTTGGTTCAGAAGCAAGGGAAATGAGACTGTGAGGCTGCAGAACGCAGCAGCTGAGCATGCAGCACCCATGCTGTGCAAAAGAAGAGAATTCCTACATTTTCCCTGGAAGTTTTAAGTGCCTGCTCTATTATTCAATCTGTTTTAGCCTGCATCTGTTCAGTGCGTGTTCAATGAGTGTTAAATCATATTCTGGACTGTACACACTAGAGGGAGCTAGGGAAAAACCAATCCCCAGGCTCCTGCCTGCTCCTGCCCTCTCCCAGGGGAAAATGGGTGTCCTTGAGGAGCAAATCCTGACAATAGCTGTTTGGGGATGTCGGAGGAGCAATTCTGTTGGAAGTGCAGTGCACTGCTTGAATACACTGATGGTGGTCAAAGTTTTAGGGGGGAAAAAGGCTTTTCTTTCATTCACATCAAAATCACAGCATCCCAGCCTGGTTTGTGCTGAAGGGACCTCAAAGCTCCTCCAGCTCCAGCCCCTGCCACGGGCAGGGACCCCTTCCACTGGAGCAGCTTGCTCCAAGCCCCTGTGTCCAACCTGCCCTTGAACACTGCCAGGGATGGGGCAGCCACAGCTTCTCTGGGCACCCTGTGCCAGCGCCTCAGCACCCTCACAGGGAAGAGCTTCTGCCTTAGATCTAACCTGAACTTCCCCTGTTCAACCACCTCCATTTTCCTGACCACCATCAGACTTGTTTATAAAAGCTGACTTATGATGACAGAGAATCGTTTTTCCCCTCCTCTGGAAGCTGATATTAGGAGCTGGAGATCTAACCCTCATGCACTGGCAGAGCCTTGAGGAGGTTAAGGCATGGTGAGGCCAGGCTGTGCTGTACCACTGCTCTGAGGGCTGTGTTTTCACTACTTGCACTGGTGGCAGAGCTGGGGCAGTGACTGGAACAAGGCTGAAATCAATACAGAGGTGTGAGAACTGCCCCTGTGCTGTTATTAATGGTCTTTACAGTGCTGCATATGTGAGGCCTGACTGATAACAGGCTCAGGCTGTTTGCTGTGCTGTGTTACAGCACAAGGGCACCATTGTTGCAGTGTGGAGCTGTCTGTGCTGCAGCTCGGGCGAGGGCTGCTTCTGTCTGCAAGGAAACATCATGTCCTGAGAAGGCAGAGATATTTCCTTCGGGATGACAAGGAAAGGGAAGCTGAGCAGTGCTCTTGTCAAGTGCTGTTCCACTGATAAAACAGAGCACAGAACAAAAGTTTTCTGCCATCAAACAGGGTTATCCTCAGCAAAGGGCACACAACATTTATGTATTTATCACCTGTTGCTCCATTGGCTTTATTGTGCCCACAGCTGTGGAACATTTCAAAGGGGTGTGGGCCTAACACTGCAGTTTCCCAAAGACCTGCCACTGGGGATAAAGGAGTCCAGCAACAGGCTGGGAGAGAGAAGCAGACACTGGCTAACCAGCCAGGGAGGCTTCCCAGGCTTTCAGCTGAGCCATGGCACTGCAGTGGGTGGGATGCTCTCCCTGTTCCACGTTGAGCAGAGGTGGGGTGAGGAGTAACAATGCTTCTCAGCCTCTCCCACAGCCATTAGAGCACCTCCTGTAAATCACAGGGGGAAAAGACTGGCTGAATAATGCTTGGAGATAGCAGCTGTGGCTTGGTACGGTGGGGGGCATGCGGGCTGGGCTGCTCGGGATTGAGTCCAGAGCAGTTTTACCTTCTAATGAGTGCACTTCAGCCTGGAGCAGTGACACTGGAGGAAGCAATGGAGACCTGTTTGGGAAAGGAAGATCCCTCCTGAGTATCAGTCACATCCCGAGTCCACCCAAAGAGGTTTATTTACCTCAGAGATGCAGACATCATTCCAAGGTGAACTGAAACGTGCACCAGACACAGCATCTGTCCGCGCTGTGATCTGCAGGGAAAGGTCTCCAGAGGGGGATGAAGCTGGCTGTGTTTGGAGGTGATGCCACGGTTTGGAGGGACACACCAGGGACAGTGTGCACTGGGGCTCCCCTGCATGGGGAAGTACTTCTTGGATGCTTCTCAGGCTGTTCGAAGGCAGAGCTGAGCACTGAGGGACACAGTCGTGTCCTGTGTGTAAACTGCTGTAGCTGGTTTCATTAGAAGCAAAGGCAGCAGCAGCTGAAAGTAGAAACCCTGCTTTCTGTGGCTTCTGTAGGAAGGCTTCCCATGGAGCCCAGGAGCAGCAGCTGCTCTCCCAGTTTACACCACACAAACAGACTGCCTTGTTTCATGATGTGCCCTTTCCCCGCAGCAGATACTGGATGGGCAGCCAGTGAGAAGCAGCAGGGGAAGCCCAGCCTGGCAAAGTGCTCCTCTCTCAGCGTGCATGGCAAGGGGCAGAGCGTGCAGGGGGGTGCTGGCAAGATGGGGGTCCCAGAGGAGCCTCGTGTGCATGGGAAATGCCCTGTGAGCTGGGCAAGAGCCAAGCAGCCAGGTTGGCTCTGCATGGCTGGCACGAGCGCCGCATCAAAAGGGACTTTTATCCCTCGAGTCATCAAACATGACTGTGCTAACGCGAGGGAGCAGACAGCTGAGTAGGCAGGGGCCATTTTAACAGTGCGGTAACAGCTTTTTGTTTCTTAACCAGGATCATACCTGCAAATGGCTGAACCGATCTCTGCGCCTCGGGCTCCTCTGCGTCAGGTGCTCAGGGAGCGATTGCTTCCTCCGCTGATCCCTCTGCAGTAGGCACTGGGGTTTGAGAGCTTCCTCAAGCCCATTTACCCTCCCACTGCTCCCCTGGTGTAGCAAAGCAAAGGGGCTTCTGCCAAAGCTCTGCGGGGCTCTGCTCTGCCCACGGGTGACCCGAATGCCTGAGCACCAGCGGGTTATTAGCCCTGGCTGGAGGCAGAGGCTGTGCCAACACGCGGGTTCCTCTGGCGCATCGCTCGGTGATTACAGCTTGACTCAGCCTCACGGTGCTTCTGCTCTTCCCATCCAAGCCTCTCCTGGGAGCCAGAGGTTCTGGCAGGCTCTTCTCCAGCGTAAGGCAGTGTCATTGGGACTGGGGTTCATTCACCACCCCTGTCTCCTGTGTGCCCAGACTGGCTGCAGGCTCCGGCCATCCAGGGCGAGAGGAGCCAGTGCCAGCAGCGGGTGAATCAGCTCCTTGCTATGTGCTGGGCTTGGGTGGGGTTCCTCACAAAATGCCAGTTCACTTCCAGAGAAACATAAATCAGGCCGTCGAGACAAGCTCCAGCCCCGCAGATCCCGGCCGAAAGGCCAGGATGGGGCTTACAGCTAATTAAAAAGGGAAAGTCGAGGGCATGTGAAAGCAAACCCCAACTGTCTGTAACAATTATCCCAGGAGCAGAAACTTTCCCTCCTCACTCGGCTGATGACAAACAGGGGCGCAGCCACCCCCGGGAGCTCGGGCCCCTCCTGCCTCCCCTCCCTTTGAAGCTCAGTTTCCTTCCCCTCGGCAGTGCGGGACGTGACTGGGGACAGCGTGTTCATCCCGTGCTGGTGCTTGGGCTCTCTGCGGGGCTGCTCGGTGTCCTCCCTGCAGAGCAGCTCCTCTGTGGCTGCTCAGGAGCGGAGGGTGACAACAAGCTGCCTTGTTCCGTTCAGCTCTGTGTGGGTGACTCGTGTGGGCTGGGGGATACAGGAACACTGTGGATGGATGGAGGGACCGAACGTTGTCCTGTGTGTATCCCAGCGCATCGGCCCGCAACGCAAAGCTCCCAAACCCTCTTGTTTAAAACAGCCAGACCTCCCTTCTCTGCTCCCACAAACAGAAAGCGTCTCCTCCTGCCCTCTTGTTGCTGATTCAAGTCAGCTCATTTACAGGCCTGAATACCCAATGGCTGGGGTCTTGTTTGCTGCATCTACCTGATGCTCACAGCCACCCACAGCCCCCTGCGAGCCCTTGCTCCCCTCCGGTGTTTCTACCTCTGACGTTCCACTCCTTCTCCTGCAAGCCCTGAGAACAAAGCTGTCCTCCCCACGCACTCAGGCGCTCCCTTTCCCTAACCCAGCTCTGCAGTGCACAGTTATGAATAAGAAATGACAACATCGCGTTCTGCCCGCACCATCACATCTGTCACTGTCACCACCGCACTGCTTCTGCCACCTCTCAGTGTTCCAAGAGGGAAGGAAAGGTGCGAAATCCCTCCCTACCTGCCGGAAGGAGGGAGCGATGATTTCCCTTGGCGGGGGGGGGGCAGTTTGATATCGTCATTCCTGGTGATTAAAAACTGCTATTTGTGAACATTCGGCTGCTAAAAATAAAGGATTTCTAAGACTCCACTGGGTTTTCTCTTATGGAAGGTGTCAAACTCATCCCGGCTTGTCAGCCTTTATGTAAAACGTCATTTCCTAAGCAGTGCTCAAGGCCTGTGTCTCTGCTTACCCTTTGGTAACACGTGTAAGGTTAATCCTCAGCAGTGGCTGTTAAAAGCAGCCTCTGCTTGAGCAGGGCTAGTTTTTGAAGACTCA